GTCATAACAAGAACTTGTGCCATTTTTTTCTTCTTCTCATGATCGGTAATATGATTCTATGCATACTTGCAGAAATAAAGCTTGATCGTTCCTAAGTCCCAAAGTTATGCAGGTAAGAACCAGAGCTGGAATACACATTGCCAAAGCAAGGACCGGGTTCCAAAATTCGTCTCCCGATCTTTGTTTAACATCTTTGAAGAATATTCTACACAGAAGACCTCCAGAAATGCTTATGCCATCACACCACCTGGAGACGCCATCGAGGGCCACACAACATGTTAAGAATAAGCCATATAAGCATCTGAGGGCAACTTGCAGTGGCCTGATTTGTACTTCCGTGAGCAACGATCCCAGTCATTGTCTTTTTTATGGGTCAGTATGTCATGTAAACCAGGAAACCAAGTTCATTTCCTGACCTGGCCACAAGCAATCTAAGATTTAATTAATTAATGCCCCTTTTGTATTTCCAGGTGGGGCTTGTGCTTCTGAGAATGGATAGGTAATCCTGGACTTCTGATCACAACTGAGACCAGAATCTTCATTGCCAGGAAAGTCAGTTGTTAAGTGATACCCCATTTAACAATTTTTTTGTCATGGTCAAGGCCAATCACTGCAATTAAGTAATCATGTGATTGTTTTTTTTAAATAAAATTTTATTTCAGTTTTCCACATATTAAAAACATCTTTTTTTAATGAACAGCATTATTCCAGGTTATCACATTTCCATACAAACATGAATTTAATTTCATACTCATCTTTCATATTTAATTTCATATCTTACCATTACTTTACATATTTTCTGTTATTTTTGTCAGATACTTTCCTCCAGCTTATTTTATATAGTTTTTCAATTCATTACTTAACCTATTTTCTTAAACTTTAAATAATTCTCATATCTTTGTATTCATTGTACTTTATGCTTTTATCTACCAAGTTTCCAATTTCATCACATATTCTTATTTCATCATTCCAAAAATTCCATCTCAATTCAAACATTTCAAAAAAGTTTTCCCCACAATTACCAATTACCATCCCTACAGTTTATATATCATCTAATTAATCCCCCTTTAAATCCCAACAATTATTTAACTAAAAAATTAATAACAATAATCTTCTAATAATTACGTTGCATATATACCTTTTAAGTCAAATTCCACAAGTTTCCCCTTTAATTACATAAAGAAATAATTATGATTTCAAAAAGAAAAATTAATTCATCATAAAGACTGATAATTATTCTCTTTAATCATATGATTGTTAAGGGAATTCAGCTTACCCATTGACTTTGCTCATTGGAAGCTATCTGGGAACAGAAGTGGTATTCAGCAAGTTCTGACCAGTTTTGGAGAACCGGTAGCAGAAATTTTGAATAGTTCAGAGAACCGGCAAATACCACCTCTGACTGGAGATTTTACAGTATCTTTCCCCTGCAACACACATCAAGCCACGCCCATGGAACCGATAGTAAAATATTTTGAATCCCACTGCTGTCTGGGAAGGTTGCTAATGGTGGTCACATGACCCTGGGAGATTGAATAAATACATACCGGGCTGCCAAGTGCCCAAATTTTGATCATATGACTATGGGACAACTGACTGTAAATCACTTTTTTCAGTGCCGCTGTAATTTTGAACGTTGTTAATGAATGATTGTTCAGTTGAGAACTACTTGTACAGTGAAGATTGATTTTCAGGGTTTTTTTTCTCCCCCATGTCTGCAAAGTCAACAGTTGGTTAATAGTCAGAACTCTCACTTTGTCCCCTCTCCTTACCATGTTTTTGTGGCTTTCTAGCTACTCTGAGAAATGGCTTTGTTGGTTCTCTTGTTATATAAAAAATACTCTGGAAGAGGAATCCATAGGATGTGATCAGGGGTGGGATGCGGCAAGGTTAACTATCAGTTCGGGATTTACGAGCTTCCCTACACGCTGGGAGCCCTGCGCCTGTAAATCATCAGCAGCAGCTGCCTGCAGAGAAGCAGCCTTTGAAACAGCCCTCTTTTCCTGCTTTTTAAACTGCAGCTGTGCCTTGTTTGGCAGCTGAAGTTGAAAAATCAGGAAATAAAGAACAGGTAAGAGCCTGGGTGGGCAGGTGGGCAAAAACATCAGCAGACATAGAACCGGTTCCATGTCTGCTGCTCTTCAGAGCTACCAGTTCTACAGAGGTGGACAGAACCGGTAGAAACTGACCCCTGGATGTGATCAAAAAAGCCAGGGTGGTGGAAATTAAAGCAACATGTTTTTAATGTGCATCGTAAAAAATACGTCACATTTTGACTACACCAATGCAGCCATCTTGAGTAGGATGAAGCTTCCTCCTTTCTGGCCAATCACATCATTGCAAAAATGCTGCAGGTCAGGGGTGTCCAACCTTGGCGACTTTTAAGACTTGTGGACTTCAACTTCCAGAATTCCAGAGGTAGCCATGCTGGCTGGGTAATTCTGGGAGTTGAAGTCTACAAGTCTTAAAATTGCAAGGATGGACACCTCTGTTCTAGATGGTTTGGGGAAGGCAAAGCTTCCTGGGTGAATCAGGGATATCTCTTGTGGACCCAGCCAGCCTCCGAGGAGGGCATCACTCAAGACGCAAGTTAGCTGCTGACTGAACTGGGAAAGGGCCCTATTACACAGAGAATTGCAACTCTTCTTGTTGCTTAAAAAGCATACCTCTGTATCTTTTATTTGTAAACTTTACGTGTAAACAATTTCAGTTTATACCTCAAAAGTCCACCTGTGTTTATCCCTAGATACGTGAGCCAACAAATTCAGTGAGCGAGTTGCAGCTCACCCACTATCCTTTAGCGGCTCAGTATTTGTTACTGAAATGTGTGCTCTGGTATCTAATCTAACACAGAAATGCTGTCCCAACTGCTGCCATCTGTTTTTAAAAGAGGGGAGGTTGGAATTTCAAACCTGTTTCTCTTTTGGGTCCTGCCCCTGCCCTGTTTTGAATAATCTCTCCCCCTCCATTGCCCCAGCCCCAGTATAAGTCTCCTGCCTTGAGCGGTGGGGGGGGGGGGGGTGAGCTAGAAAATCTCTTCAGTCACTTCCAGCCTTAAGATTCTATCTAGTTACAATCCCTCCTGAGAAAACATCCCCCACCTTCCTAAGATGGTTCTACACTTGCCCCAACTATGTGACACAGTCTGGCAAGCTCTTTTTTTATTTTATTTTTCCCCTATTCTGTCCCCAGGATATCGCTGTCAGACATTGGCATTAAGTAACACTATCTTCCTTGTTCCGATGCCTTTCAAGGCCAGCCTCCAGGTGTGTAAAATCTATTCAGCTTTGTCACCTTTTGGCTTGGAGGAGAGCCAGGAGACTGGCAGTGGTTGGAAAAAGATGTAATAAGAGGCCGACTTGGCAATGGCACAAGCCATGTTACGTAGGTCAGTGGCTTTCTGGTGGGTCAAAGACAGACAGGTATTCAAACCTCGGAAAGGCCCTTAGATGGACACATTTCTTAACTGCCAAACCAATGCACGGTGCTAAAAAGCCAGGTGAATACCTGCAGACCAATTTGTTTTATTCCCTTAAGCCCTCTTGCCATTTCTGTCACCCAACAAGGTCAACCACGAGCACTGACAACTCTTCCTTAGTAAATCATGAATTTTCTGGAAGGTTGGTGAATTAAGGGAAGTTTGCTATTCTGGAACAATGACCCATCAGGGACTAGCCAACACTTGGAAATTCCCTCTGAAAAGGATACTAAGCCTTCTCACCAGAATCCCAAACTGGTAATATTTGCAGGAATGTCTGACAAATTCTCTGCTTGTTTCAGGGAACCCATCTTGACAAAGGAAGCAAAGACTCCCACAAGGAAGCTTCCATGTCTCCCCATCAGACCTGTGGCGGTGGGGTGGGTGAGTGGGTGAACAAACTCCACGGCTCCACATTTCCTTCCTGGCTGCTATTTTTTCAGTTTTTCCAGGAATGCCATCACTCTGCTAAACAAATAATTATCTCAACACTGTCCAACTAAGTCTGCATTACTATAACTATTAATCCTTCCATCCTTCCTTTCATCCATCTCCTCCCACTTATGACTGTACGACTGTAACTTTGTATATTGACTGTTTCCTAGAATGATTTGAATGCTGATTGTACCCTATGGCTATCATTAAGTGTTGTACTTTATGATTCTTGACTCTTGACGAATGTATCTTTTCTTTTATGTACACTGAGAGTATTTACCCCAAGACAAAATTCCTTGGGTGTCCAATCACACTTGGCCAATAAAGAAATCTATTTCTACAGGAGCAGGCCAGGGTCGCTCCGAAAAAACGACCCCATCCCTGGAGACAAGCGGCGGATCGATCGATTCTAAATCCTGCCCCCACCCCACAAATCAGGCTAGGCGGAAAGGCCCAGCGGATCCAGCCACAACTTCCCACGAGCGCCGCCGGCCCGCAGAAGGGGCTTTTTTTTTTTTGGTGTGGGGGGGCGTTCGGGGGGGCAAGGAAAGGCAAATCGTCCAGAGTTTGGAAAGTCCGCTGGGGTGGGGGTGGGGGCGCAGATCTAAGATAAAAACCAAACCCCGCCGCCTTTCCCTCCCCCCCCCCCGGCCCCCATTTCGCGCCCAGAGCGATCCCACATGTGTGGCGGCCTGGATGGGTGTGTGTGTGTGGGGGGGGGGAACCCTGCCTGTTGGAGAGCGGCGGCAAAACGTCGGTTCGTTCCAGAGAACGCCGCTGGTGGCTGTCCCGGGCGGCCGCGGGAGCCATTGCCCTTTTAAGGGGTAGCTTGAAACCGCGCCTGGGCTCCATGTTTGTATCAGAACCCGTGAAGAGGGAACTCCATGTTGTAACAAAGTTTCCTTCGCCGCCGTCTTTTTTTTTTCTCCCCCTCCCCCCTTTTGTTTTGTTTTGCTTTTCCCTTTCCCCCATCTCCCCCCGCCCCTCCCCCACCCTCTCACTTCCCCTCTTCCGTTTTCTTTCCTTTTATTTATTAGTTTCTTCCTTCCTTCCTTCCCCCACCCCCCCTTCTTCTTTCGTTCCGTTCGGTTCCGCTGCTGCCGCCTCGGTTGTTGTTGTTGTTGTTTTTTAAAAGAAAACAACCGGTGGAAGGAGGGGGGGGGAGGCGGAGGAAATAATAATAATAATATACAGATATATATCTGTGCGAAGTCCCGGAAAAATTCCTCGAAGCGACGGCGGCGGCAGAGGAGGAGGAGGAGGAGGAGAGACAATCGGAGGCGGGAGGAGAGCGCTCTGCGCGTCTGGTCTAATGGACAGCGGACCCATCATCACCCAGGTTAGCAAGGAAGAGGTGAACAGTCCTCTGCAGGAGAAAGGTAAGCATTTTTAACATCTTTCCCCCCCCCTCCTCTTCCTCCTCCTCCTCCTCCCACGCGGGGCATCGGCGCGGGTGCTTTGGGGATCGCGTCTGCCTGCCCTCCTTCGGGTGAAATGCCTGGTGGGAGGGGGGGGGTCTCTCTCTCTCTACAGGTCGCCCAAAGCGGAGCTGCAGAAGCCCGGCGGCCTTCTCGGGTTTGACAGATCGCCTTCGCCCGCCTCCCCCCCCCCCGCCCCCCGCCCCGGAGGAGAGAAGCGCTGGGTCGCCCTGCGCGCTTTCGGTGCCAACGGCTCGGACCGGGGGAGGGGCGCTTGCTGACTTTTCCCCCCCAAAGGGCCTCCGGAGTCACTCCGATCTGAGATTCCGGTGGGAAAACCGAAGTGGGGGGGAGGGGTTGAGGGGAAAGCGGCGGACGGAATGTCTTTAACACGCGTGTTTCTTCTGGGCTCGGAGATGCTCCCCTCCTCCCTCCCACAACGTCGGAGCCGCGTCCCGCGAATTCCAGCCCTTCCCTAACCCGGGCGCGGGGGGAGGGAAGGGGGGGGAGGGCAGAGCCATCTTCAACCCGGGGCCCGCGGGTGGTTACACGGTTGCATGCCCTGCGCCCGTGAGTGGGGCAAGGGCGGCGGGAGCTGCAGCCTCACGCATCCGGAGGAAGCAAAGTTGGAGGGGTGGGGGTAAGCCTGCTCGGGACCCATCCCGTCCTCTGGACAGCAGGGCGCCGAGACCATCAGCGCAATCGCTTGGCGCACGTGTGCGTGCATTTTCTCGAGGCATGGTTGCGAAGTCCGCGCACGCTTTCCAAACCTAACCGTGCTCGCTTCTGTCGGGAGCTGCCGCAAAAGGCCTCGTTTTGCCCTAGCCTAGCAGATCGCTTGATACCTCGTACCTGGGGAGAGGGGAAGGGCCTACAGTTGCCCTGGGTGCGTATTTAGGGTCTTTGGGCGCCTCTGTTGCCCCCACCCACCCACTCCAGCTCCTTTGCCTCGAATATTATGGCAGAAGTCCAGCAACAGGTTTTATTCAGAGCTCTCAGACAGCCTGGCTCTCCTCAACCTGGTGGGTTCCAGGGATCGGATTACCATTCCCATGTTCCTGGCAGAATGGGAGCTGTAGTCTGAGCCATCTGGAGTGGGCAAGAATGAGGTAGATTAGTCCAAAAAAACCGGCATCCTGTTGCATGCCCTCCCCACCCCCATATCCTGGATGCCCCTCCCCATCCAACCGTCTGTCTGTCAGTCACTGTTTTTCCAGAGGGGGAGAGAACTGGGGAGGGAGAGAACTGGGCCATTTGCAGTGGAGGTGCCTTTTCCAGATGTTTCCAGCTGTGCGTTTCCGCTGTTGCTGCTTTGGAGGGATGGAAAGTAAGGACGGGAGGGTGGAGATGGTTTTTTTTTTTTTTTTAATTGGGGATGGACAAAATCTCCTAGCAGAGACTGGGCGCTGCATACCAGCCAGTTTTGTGCCAGGTCTTAGTAAATCAACCAGAAGGCTCCTCTGTTTGGACAGAAGCCAGAGGCACTGAAAGGGGTGTTTTTATTGATGTCTCAGGATTGATCTCTTAACTTGCAGGAATCCAGAGTCTCCCTGAGTGGTAGGAAGGACAGCATTTTCTCAGTCTTTTGGCATATCGCCTCCTACCCACTTTTCCTTCCCATATGGCTCATTTGCAGCACCTAGCTAGGAGCCCCTCTGATGTTACGACAGAAACGTCCAATTGCTATTGTCCCTGTTTTGAATCGTGAACAGAGGTCTACCAGTGGCAATCTTAACAACAGCAACCATAAGTGGGGTGGGAGGAGAGAGAGAGTGTGTGTGACCCGTGTCTTTACGACTCTTCTAGACTTTCTACACCACTTCCTGGTGAACATTGAGGAAGGAGCTGGTTAGCAAGAAATCCGAGGCTGCCTTCATTAAAGTAATTCAGACCTCTTGCCCATCAGATGCTTTGACCGTGAGGCAAAAGGTGGTTCTTCACTGCTGGGCAGGCCGGACTTGTGAATGGAGGCATCCCTGGTCATTTGCAGCCATCTGGGGGAACGTAGCTGTTTGGCTCTTCCCTCTGATTTCCACCATTTGAGCCTGGATATGTCAAGCCAATAAAGAGGGAAGTGCAGAACCACTAAGGAGGATGGGGGAAAATGGAAAATGGATTTCCTTCTGACCGCAGTTCATCTGAGCCAGAGGATACCATGGTTGAGCCAGGAAGACCACACGGGTCTTGGAAGACGGTGCCAAGCTTCCTTAATATATGTCATAGGAAGGAATCTTTCACTGGACTATGATAAAACAATGCTTGGTAGAGAGGCAATTAAAGGTTAGAGTCTAGGAGAGAATATCAGGGCTGTTGTAAGCAGTGAGCAAAGACGTTTGCGCTAATTCTACTCTAGCAACTCAAGAAATCCCACCAGTCTACTTGAAAGTAGTTATACATCTGTTTCTTTGCTATTCATCTGAGTAAGCGAACCCAACCGGAGGCTTATTGGGCTGCCAAATATGGCCGACAGGCTGTCTGCCTTCAGGAGCCCCATGTGGAATTAGGCCACGTATGTAAGACTTCATAATGATTCGGCGTGGTTGAAGAGTTTGCACCTCTCAGTGGACCACCAAGAAGCTGCCTTATGCTGCAATGAGCTGCCACAGAAGGAATGTTGTCTATAATTAGACAATATGGACAAGGTTAACTTCAGACCAACAATCAAGTAAGCAATACCCCAATCAAGACACTGCCAAAGAGCCATCAGTAAACAGCCCAACCAAAGAATCTCTAAGACCCCCACCCACCCACACAGACAGGCAAGATACCAGAATATAAACTGAACGGCAAACAGCACTCATTACTCCCTAGCACTGATGTTGTTACCTAGTTTGGGTAATGAAACACCTGCAAGAAAAGAAGCAAGCTCAGAGAGCACCAAGGATGCTTCACTGTCTATAATTATTGTTAATGAACTTTCAGGGCTCCTGGTTTCAGTTTTCCATCCTGCCTGAAGTCCTCGGTGTTCATCCTTGAAAGCCTAGAGAATCCAAGGTCTTTCTCCCATGCCAGGGAAGAGCCTTGGAACTATCATAAAACAGTAAGCTAGAAAAGGCAGAAATACGGGCAGAAAATAACCTGCAGGGATGCAGAAACTTAAGTTTTAAACATTTGGCAATTTTTATTTATTTGTTTGTTTGTTTGTTCACTCACTGACTCACTTACTTTGCACACTACCCATCTTACCTAAGTGACTCTGGGCAGTTTACAGGAAGTCCTTGATTTAAAAACCATTCATTTAGTGACTGTTCAACGTTACAACGGCACTGGAAAAAGTGAATCGTGACCGATTTGCAGACTTAATTACAACCATTGCAGGCACGCACACACCCCGGGTCACGTGATAAAAATTAAGATGCTTGGCAACCGGCACGTATTTATGATGGTGGCAGGATCCTGGGGTCATGGGTTCATCTTTTGCAACTTTCTGACAAGCAAAGCCAATGTGGAAGCCAGATTCACTCAACGACCATGTTACTAGCTTTAACAACTGCAGTGATTCACTTAACAACGGCGGCAGGAAATGTTGTAAAATGGGGACAAAACTCACTTAACAATTGTCTTGCTTAGCCATGGAAAATTTGGGCTCCGTTGTGGTCGTAAGTCAAGGATAACCTGTGCAATACCACCATAAAAGTTAACAATAGAAAGGTTAACAAGGCAATGGAAAGTCACTACCAGTCAGAGTAGACAGTAGAGTAGGAGATATAGAGGCGTAGCCAGCCACACCAACAGGCTGAAGAACATCTTCTACCTGTGGGCTGTCAGACTTCTGAATGGAAAATAACTTCATTTCAACATAGTATGATAGACTTGCGGGGCTGGCACATTGTACACATGTTATACTCGTGACAATAAAGGCAATAATAATAACATTGCAGATTTGAAAGACAGCCTAATATAGAGAAATTTAAAATCCCAGCCCTTAGAGAAAAGAGCCTTCAAAACAGAACTTAGGGAAAAGGTTCAGGGACTTTCCGTGACAGGTGATTCCCAGGTAGGACTACTGAGACAGGATTCACACATAATATTAAGTGGGGTCCTTAGTGAGCTTGGTTATTTGACTTATAATATTAAATTTTAGTCACTTTCCCACCCCGCTCATAACGCTGAACCTTTATGGTTGTGGTTGCAGTTCATGCTAAGCCAAAAAAAAGTGAATCGCATAATGGCTTATTGCTGTACTGTGTCCATTAGGTGCACTGGGATGGCAGACCATGGGGAAATGTGGCAAGTGCCTTTGTTCATTCCTCTTCCCTTCAAATGCTTCCCTGAAATAGGCCTGCAGGTTCTATTTTTAATAAGGGAATGTTTCCAGACGTGAATCGAATATATCCAGGCTGCTTGGAGGAGGTAGGTGTTGAATAGGAGTTCATCTGGTTAAATATTGTTTCCTCTGAAAATTGTCCTAAGTGTACGAAGCCTAATCTATAAGGTTTACTTTATTCTTCACAATACTTTTATGGATTATAGTGAGAAAAGGCTCATGTTTAAAACTCCCATTTAGTTCCTATTTCATCTCTTTTGGCAGGATAACTATATCAGGGTGAAAAGAAATCGAATTCTAGCTCCCTTTCTCTATTTTGAATGGTACGTAATCATTCTTCTCAAGCCTGTTGTGATAATTCCTTCTATAAGTTGAACACATTCAATTCCCATGGCATTTCACTGTGGAGAGAATTTACAAGCTCTTATATAATAGAAATTGTAATAGTTCTTCAGAGTATCTATCCCAAAGTTTTGTTTTATAATTATAATTTACATATAATTATTTCTGTATTTATTTTTAATCCCATTGTTATTTTATTAATAACTCCAGGCCACAAACATACTGTACCTAATACTCCTTCAAACAGTGGTTAGAATACAGTACTGCAAACTACTTCTGCTGACTGCCGGCTACCAGCAGTTTGGCAGTTCAAATCTCACCAGCCTCAGGGTTGATTCAGCCTTCCATCCTT